ATAATGGATGGAAAGTGACCAAAGAGAGATTCAACCTAGAAATAAGGAGGAACTTTCTGACAATGAGAACAATCAACCAATGGAATACTGTAGCTTGCCCTCCCTCGGAAGTTGTGGGAGTTTCATCACTTGAGACTTTCAAGAAGAGATTGGACTGCCATTTGTCAGAAATGGTGTAGAGTCTCCTGCTTGAGTGGGGAGGTTGAACTACATGACCCATAAGGTACCTTCCAACTCTGTTAATCTGTTAAACCTCTTCTGTTAAACATTCCAAAATGCAGCTTCTTCTGTGGAATCTTGAAATCAAGTATTCTCATGCAAGGTTATGTATCAAGAGACCACAATGAGGGGGCATGCAACTAAATGATCAGGCAAACAAAGTCATATTGTTCCCTTTCAATATGTAGATACAAACATTGTACATATAAACAGTGTTAAATCAGAAACATTTCAATTTACTTTAAGACTATTTTATTCTAAGGGTGACCCGAGAACTTAATTCTCCAGAGCCCGTTGACTGCTTTCTGACTCACTGGAGTGATTGGGGGCCATGTAGTCCATGCTCAGAAGAAAGAGTAAGTAGTTTTTCCATAATTTATCGTGTATTAAAAGGGCTTCATAAAGAAGATTTATTTATGAAATAAAAGCTCCTTGGTGGAGATTAATTCCAAATAGTAAAAGAAAAAAGGCTTTCTTGTTTGGAATCACTGGTTGTCCACTAATTATAGTGTTAAATTTGAATGGATGGTAAGAGATTACCCATTTAAATCCTTTTCACAGTATAGATGTATACATTTTTGGTAGCTATGAAGATTCTCAGTCATCCAGATTATGGTTGTCCCAAAGGTGCTTTTTCAAGAGGCAACTGGACTTTCTGGTTTATCTTTGAAGAGGTTTCGCTTCTCATCCAAGAATCTTCAGTTCAGTGGTGGGTTTCAAAAAAAATTTGAACCTACTCTGTGGGTGTGGCCTCCTTTGTGGGAGTGGCTTTCCAGCCATGTGACCTGGTAGGAGTGGCTGGCCATGTGTTTTCTTTCTTTCTTTCTTTCTTTCTTTCTTTCTTTCTTTCTTTCTTTCTTTCTT